AGAGAGAGAGAGAGAGAGAGAGAGAGAGAGAGAGAGAGAGAGAGAGAGAGAGCGGAGGAGGAAGAGGACGACGACGACGAGAGAGAGAGAGCGGAGGAGGAAGAGGACGACGATGACGCGCGCGCGCGCGCGCGCGAGAGAGAGAGAGAGAGAGAGAGAGAGAGAGAGAGAGGAGGAGGAAGAGGACGATGACGACTACAACGGACATGACGACTACAATGGACATGACGACGACGATGACTACCACGAACTCGTCCCCCGACTGCACGCTCAGCTCCACGCGCTGGTCGCCCGTCGCCACGCAGCTGCTCTCTGCTCCACACGCTCGCTAGTCCACGTGCTGCTCCTCGCGCTGCTCCACGCGTGCACGTTGGGGGACGAGTGGGCCAAGAACAGTCCCTTCGAAAAATGGCGGCGGTGAACTGCCCCCCCTCCGATTTCAAAAAAAAAAAAGTAACCAAGTTCACCAACATATTTTTCGCCCTTTCCGGACAGTCGCGAAAGGGCCGAAAAAATAAGGGGCAATTTTTCTTGGGCGGCCCAAGGCATGAAAAAACGCCCTGGGCCGCCCAAATTTTTTTTTGTTGTTGGCCTGGGGGGCCTCCATCCGGACCGGTTACCGGAAAGTGGTACCGGATCCCGGATCCCGGAGGCTCCGGATCCCTTTCCGGGGGTCCGGATCGTAGCCACTCTTGTAAGGAAGGAGCAACTCGAAAAGCAGGTGTTCGTAGCCTACGTTAGGCCGATGTTAGGCCGATTTCTGACAACCCAAAGGAAGAAGAGAAGATCCTTCCTACTATTGCCGGTCTGCTGGAAGAGTACAAAGATTTGTCTGAAGCACCTTTAGGAGTACTGCCAAGACCGATCCAGCACCGCATAGAGATAGAGCCTGATAGTAGAACGCCTAAAGGGGTAGTCTACATGATGTCTCCCAAAGAACGAGAGGAGCTTCGCAGGCAGTTAGATGAGCTCCTGGAGAAAGGATGGATAAGGCCTAGTTCATCACCTTTCGGCGCACCTGTTCTATTTGTGCCAAAGAAAGAGGGACCGTTGCGTATGTGTATAGACTACAGGGGACTGAATGCCATCACGATTAAGAATGCAGAGCCGCTGCCCTGTATAGATTCCTTGTTAGATCAAGTGCAGGGATGCAAGTACTTCTCAAAGATAGACTTAAAGCCAGGGTACCATCATATAGAGGTTCATCTTGACGATCATTATAAGATGGCGTTCAGGACGCGATATGGGCATTACGAGTTTATAGTGATGCCATTTGGACTGACTAATGCACCGACCATATTTCAGTGCTGCATGAACGACTTAGTGGCTAGATAGGTTCGTCGCAGTATACTTAGACGACATCCTAGTGTTCAGCAAGACCTTCGAGGAGCATGAGGGCCATCTGAGGCAGCGCAAAGAAGTGTGAGTGGGCCAAGACAAAAATCCTTTACTTGGGCCACGTATTAGACGGAGACGACATTCGACCAGAGGAGAGCAAGATTGCATCGATTAGAGATTGGCCAACTCCTCGAACGCTGACTGAGTTACAATCGTTCTTAGGATTGGCTAACTACTACCGGAAGTTTGTGAGGAACTTCTCTACGATCGCTGCTCCCCTTCCTAGACTATTGAAGAAAGAAGCAATTTGGTAGTGGGACCAGGATTGCACGTCGGCCTTCAAGAAATTGAAGAAGGCCATAATAGAGTACCCTGTCCTCGAAGTTGTTGACCCATCGCTGCCATTTGTCGTCACTACAGATGCAAGTCGGTATGGCATAGGCACCGTTTTGCAGCAAGATGACGACAATGGTTACAGACCCGTAGAGTTCAAAGAAAGTTGCAGCATCGACATATGAGAGAGAACTCTACGCTCTTAGGCAAAGCACCCTATGTTACCGCGCGTTCATTGAACGCTGGTTTTCCGTTCAGAAATTTAACGGAATGAACGTGCGTTCAGTGAACGCGACCGAACGCAGAGTTCAATTCCGCGCAGGAAAAAAAAAAAAAAAAAAAGTTCTCTAAAAATTCCAAAAAAAAAAAAGGTTATGAAGAAAAATAAAATAAACAACTTTTGCCTGAGAATCACATCCAAATTCGCTATCAAATTCGAAATAAAAATAGAGAATAGAAAATAGAAAAAAGTAAAAAAAGAATTGAAATTAGTGGGCGAACATGATTTCACACCGCCATCTTTGGCGATTTTTCATTTTTTGTCCCCTTGGCAAAATGACTTCAAAATTTACAGACATGTAGCTCACATCATATAGAACTCACAAGAAAAACATAAAAAAAAAAAAATATTTTTAGGCAGTGAAAATATTTTTTGAAAAAAATAATTGAACGCCGTTCAATTTTTGAACGCGAACGCGCAATCCGCGTTCAAACGCACATTTGAACGCGAACGCGCGTTCACCGCGTTCAAACGGTTACATAGAAAGCACCACCTGCTTGGGAGGCACTTTAAGGTGTATTCAGATCATGAGACTCTTAGATGGCTAAAGACAGGCCAAGATGATGCCCAAGTTGACTAGATGGGCTGTTGAGATAGACCAATTTGACTTCGAGTTGAAGCCCGTAAAAGGAAAGTATAACGTGGTAGTCGATGGTCTATGTAGGAGGGCTGATTACTTCGGCGCGATAGTGCACTATCTAGACATATGGGCCGATCTGCAGCGAAAGATCAGAGATGCATATGCACAAGACCCGATTCATAGTGAGTTGTTGAAGAGAGTTCGGGAAGCCCGTGATAGTGAGCCGCACTATCGAACCACAAACGGGCTATTGTTTGAGACGATCAATATCGCTGACAAACTGTGTTCCCAACAGTGAAGAAATCCGCAGTTTGATCTCAGGAGAATGCCACGATATGGAGGGGCACTTCGGATAGCAAAAGACTTCAGCTAACTTGATGATGTCCTACACGTGTCCAGGCATGAAAGCGGACTGCATAGAACATGTGCGCAGCTGCAAAGTATGCCAGCACAATAAGACGACGACTAGAGCACCATTTGGTCTTCTAAGACCCCTGCCTATTCCGTCAGGACCCGGAGAGTCAGTTTCCATCGACTTCATGGATACTGGGGCCAGAAGTAGGCATGGCAAAAGTCAAGTTGTGGTCATAGTAGATCCATTTAGTAAGTATGCAGTTTTTGTACCCTTGCCTTCAGAGGCACACACCGATTTAGTTATAGAAAAGTTTCTCGATTTTTGGGTAAGCGAGCATGGTCTACCGTTGTCTATAGTTAGTGATAGAGACACACGGTTCACCAGCCAGAATTGGCAGGACCTGCGTAGCACGGCGAACATGTTCGCGCCCCTTCATGTTCGCGCGAACGCGTTCGCGGGAAAAGGTCGCGAACATGTTCGGGCGAACATATTTTTTTTTCGTAAAAAAAATAAAATAAAATAAAAAAAATTTGAACTTTTTTCGGTTTGTGATTTTTAACTCATGATTGGCTACGAATTTGAACACGACTCCAAGGCAAAAGTTGCTTGTATTGTTATTTTACATAAGATATATTTTTTTTCAGATTTTTCTGATAACTTTTTTTTTTTTTTTTAATATTTTTTATGTTTGAAACGGTTTTCACCTTTTAGCAGTAGCGGATGCAGTACCCAGGGTTCGATCCCTAGACCTCACCCTACCCATGTACAGTATCTGTGTAGACCCCGAGAATTGAACCTGTGACCTGTGTATAACCTATGACCTGTGTATTCGTAGGCAGTTGGTAGACCTGTCGTAGGTCCATAGACAGCAGGGGTTCGATCTGTAGGTCTATAGCGTAGGAGTCTTAGTGA